ATATCAAATGCAATTCAAAACGTAACAAAAGAGCCACGAAATTCAAAGATATAAACCAGCCAATAACTTACGTTTTGCAGCTCAATCGAACCAATGATTTAGAACTCAGGAGTGGGCTAATCTTTAATTAACTCAGTTAAAGGAAATAAGACAGTTTAATTGAGTAATGGCTGATGCATATATGGTCGCTCTTTGAAAAAATATAGTTTGCACCACCTAGTTTGCTTAATAAAACTCTTCCTATTCCATCCGTTCCAATTTATTTCCCTCCTTTTATTGACTAAATTTAGCAGTGAATGTACGCAGTCGAAAAATTTGCTTTAATCTCCTAATGTTTTGTAATTTCTTATTTTGGATCGTCACTAGTCGGCGGAATGTTGCATACCCTTTGTCGCCTATCCGGTCCGGAAGCATCTTTGCGCTCCTCTGTTTTTCGAAGTACCAGAGATGCTCTGATAGGCGAGAAAATGGATGAACGAGAGCAACCAAGAGAAGGAAAACAGTATACAGACAAATATCTTTGCCTTAAAATGCTCCCCAGTAGAGAAGATCCAGGAGTTCTTTCTAAAGATAGGAAATCTAAAAGAGCTAAGGAGGATCTAAAGAAGGCAATATGCAAAAATGAGTCACGGGAACCAAGTATATTCAATAAAAGTAAGGATAAGTGGGAGGAGGAAAATTCGACTAAATCAATTGGTATCGCATATCTAAAAGAGGAAGCTGAAAATAAAATGAATGAAAGACAAATTATGGCAAAATGTCTCAATACCACCAAAGAAGGTCGAGTGACATGCATCATTGATGCCTGGGAAGAAAACTCTCCAAAAACGACACTAGCCGCTGGTAATCAACTAGAGACAATTGATGAGGTGAAAACTAAAGCCCATATAATTGGCCAGGGGCACCAAAACATCAAGCTTCCTTGGTCTGCCAAGATAACGAACATGGCCAGAATTGCGCATGATGATATCATCAATGACCATATAGTGACTGGAGATCCGGTCGATCTTGGAACTGGACCCCCTTATTTTGTGTCAACTATCCCATCAGATCACTCGGATAAGGTTGGATGTGAAAATTTGCCCAATAACATTGGCCAATGGGTGAGTCATTGGTATTTTGTACAATTATGATAACTTTTATTAGAGTAATTTTGAAAATATCAGTACTTCTTGAATCCAAAATAAGTCACGCGAGCTGAAATGTGAATCTCTCCATTTAC